AACAGTATTATATAGCAATTTTCTGTAAATAATCAAACACTATAAAATGGTAGTTTTGAAGTTTAGAAAATACTATTTGCATCACTTTGAACACAGTGGACAGTGTGAAATTTGGTTTAAAAATGACTCAAGTAAAATTAACAGAACATTGCTTCTAATGGAACAGGAAACTATTTAGGCTACTCTTCAATAAAACCTCCAAACTGTAGCACGCAGTTGTAAAATGCACAGTTTTTCTCTGTTTGCATAAGTGACTGTGTGGGGGGGGGAAGAAACAGTCCATCTGGATTTTATCTGATTAGAGAGGAGCAATGTGAAAAGGGGTCTAATCTAATAGTCCATTCATCAGTCAGACAAAATCAAGTCTAGTTGTCAGAAGGCAGAGTTCTGAGGAGACAAAACGAGTACAATGAAATACAATCAAGAAGACACAGGGAACACTGCTGCCATTACTGCTAACACCAGGATAAAAAGAAAGTGACAACTAAAACCAAAATTGTGGAGAGAGAAGTAAAAAATCAACAAAAGAGAAGGTAAAATAGACACACGCATGCACACAAAGCATCGGGGTCAGCAGGATGTCTGCATGCCCCACCAATCTAAGGACTGTGGTCAAAGGGCAGAGACGCAGGCAGCCATATGTCCCCTGTTCAACCTCTGCGGTCCTTGCTGTAGGACAAATTCCTCTGCGTTTGTGCACAGAAACGTACACACAAAAAGACKAACTGGGCACAACAGTCTGGGTCACGCTTTGTGTGTCCTTGCCAAGCATTGGCCTTGCATATCACATGTCCTTTTATGCATAAATATGCATTTGTGCAGCAGTAGAATTTGAGATGATGCAGCAGTGTTAAAATGGAAATTCTCAGTCAGCCTTTCTATMTTTCTGTGCAACATTCATAGGAACATATGATTTTTAAATCTTTTCACCTCCATGCCATTATTGTCARTTTAATTCAGTTTATTTATATAGCTCCTATAAACAACAAGTCATTTTAGGGAACTGCACAAAAACATTCACAAAATGACAAAAGTTATCTGTCTGAAGAAGCCAGCAGATTGTCTCGAATCATCACTTTGTCACAATCTCTCATCCTGAGAAGCACATTGGCAACAATGGATGCTCCCTGTATCGTTGAGGGCTATTCCAGCAGAGATAYTGTCAATCTTTATAAAATGTTAATTTCATTTCCTTTTTAGTATCTTTCTATTTTTGTTTATTGTTTCTGTGTCAGGTTATTAGGTTTAGTCAAAAACTCACCTCTTCTACATTTATTCCTCATTTTGTCTATTATTACCAAGTTTATTGGGATGTGAAAATCCTGAAGTGAGAATATTATCTTGTTGTAGCCTTTTCATGTRGCAAAACCTGCCATTTCATTGTCCCTCCCCACCAGAAAAAACAAAAGCAACCCAGAACAGAGGCTAGACCAGGTACATTATTCAACTGAATGGTTTAGTGTTAATTTCTGGTTGGAACCAAGTGAAGYGCCAAAAAGTCAATGAAATGAGACTTTCTAGAAGAAGTGTAAGAAGTGTTAGAAGAAGTTTTGTAACCGCGTTGGGTTTCCAGACACCCCCTCTGGCATTTCTTTTTCTCCTGGGGGTACTCGCTGCTTGCATGCTTCCCTGTCGTCTGGGTAACTTGTCTCCTCGTCCCGTCTGATGACCGATTGCCTTTTTTTTAAACAAGTCAGCCCGTTASCTGATTTATAATCAAGGTTTGGCCTGGCTTCCCTCCAAACAGGCCTCAAAGTGTCCCTGACTACAGAATAGAGGTGGGTGATACTGGGAACTTTAGTATCGATCTGATACCAAGTAAACACAAGGCTAGTATCATCAATGCCGATGCCAATTCCAATACTTTTTACTGAAAATTCCATGATCAATAAACTATTTTGCTMTTTTGTCTTTAGTCAGTTATGATAAAACAACAGGACAATGATTATAGACAAAAAATGTTTTGTATTAACTRTACAACAATATAACACAATGTAACAGTATAAAAATAATAAAACAATTCCACTATTATCTACTACTACACAGTTAAGACAAATAGGCACAAAGTAAAATAATGAAAAAGGCAACTATGTAACAAAAATGTATGTCAACAACACAACAAAAAATATCTTCCATTGCATGTTGGAACAACGTAAAGGAGGGGTTTCTGTTAATGATGAACTCCAAATGATTTAGTGACTCTGCATCACTGATTTAATTATTCACCTTATTTGTCAGTAGTGCAAATAAAGTGTAAACAAAAGTATCACTGTCTTCATGCTAGTATTGATTCGATGCTACCGTAATCGGTATCTTTACTATTGATACTTAGTATCATAATAGTAATAATACTTACTTACTATTGATCAATACGCTAACCACTACAACAGAGACAGGTTTTAGTGTCCCACATAAAGTGCTGGATGAGGTTTGACAACAACCACAAGAGGAGGTTTGGTGTGAGTCAGCTTTCCAGTGACTTAAACTGTGCTCCGAACTAAGTCTTGTTTGTTGTGATGGTCTCATCCTATCTATACTGTAAACTGTTAATGCCAAATACATGTAGCTGTACTTAATAACTTACAAATTGCCATCCATCATGGTATAATAAACAGTCTTGATGATGTCACTCTAAGAGCTTGATAAACTAAAAAACCAATCACATTTTACATAGATACAAGTAAAGAAACTAAACACGTTAGAAGCTGAGTAACAATCAAGCAGTCTAACCATCTCACTCTGCAGGCAATAAAGCAAGCATTTCTTTCAAATAAAAGGACATAGCATAAAGGTTGAGATTAAAAATTATAACATGATAATTCCTCTATTGGCTAATTAGGGCTTCTGCTTGGGGAATACCACAGCATGACACACAACACCCCAGAGAAACAACCCTAAGATGCACTAGCAGTCACACCTGGAGAGATTCTAAGAAAAATTAGGATTCCTTATGTCGTGAGAAAAAAATCTGAGTGGAAAATGCAAAACAGTAACTTCTAAACATCCTGTTATGGGTAAAATAATAAAATAAAAAATAAAAAAGAGAGGAAATGTAAAAAATGAGGAAAACCTGCCATCCGTTCATTCATTCATTCTTTCCTGCCTTCTTACCTTGGATACTCTGCAGCCAAGCTGTCGCTTGCCACGGCACCAGATTCCTACTTGCCACGGCACCAGATTCCTACTTGCTGGCCATGGCAGAACAAATGATGGTAAATTGGAATGAAATTGTCTGTCCACCCAGCTCCCTCGTTCCTTTCCCCTCCTCTCCTTAGCCTCCTCCTGGTCCAAAGTGAAGCGTGAGAGAACGGTCAAAGAGGCGACAGCAGCAGTGATTCTGTCTCCATCGGTCCACACACTCAGTCTCCTCTTAATTAGCTTGTTCCAACAACCGGCAATGACTAATAAATCAAGTGGCTGAAATCACCGCCTGAGATTCATGCATCCAGTGAGAGGACACTGAGCAGAGGGAGAGAGTGCAGGGATATGTGTGTGAGGGAAGAAAGAGTGTGTGTGTGTGTGTGTGTGAGAGAGAGAGAGAGAGAGAGAGAGAGAGAGAGAGAGAGAGAGAGAGAGAGAGAGATACAGTGATTGAGAGCAGAGCGAGGGGGAGACAAGGGGAGGGAGCGCATTATGTGTGTCAGCTCATTTGTATTCGAAGCTTGTTTTGCCTTTTTTCCATCCATCTCTCTATCCAGTCCCCTTTCCTTTCCTTTGGACCTGAACTACACRTCTGAAGGATGATAGAATTCTGCAGCTGAGTATGCGGGAGGGATGTGGAAAAGAAGGCTGAACATGTGTATGTTCGGCTGTTGCTCGACATGGGTGCCTACAGTGCTGCTTGCTCTGGAACTGGGTTAACGACGTATGGCTACTGATGTAGCTTCTCTGGAACACTCGTATCATTGCAGGTCAGACTCTGTACCACAGGGAGGATTACGTGAAAGGTTTGCCACTGTACTTGGACTGCAGTTGTTTTCTATCCGTTCAAGCACTGTATGAACACAAAAGGTGATTAAAAGTTTGCAGGTGACTAATTCTGCTCATGAAACAGCTTGGACAGGTATTTTTGGTTTACAGATTGCAAAGTTTCAACGCAGACTGACTTATTTGAGCAAGCATCTCTCCCATAGTAAAAATCTTGAGTGTATTTAGAGTTATGAAAACCTGTGCCAGAGGGTTGATGCTGAGAGCTGAGAGCATGAAGTGAGCTACAGCGATATATATGTTTTGAAGAAAACTGTACTGAAGTGACACATTTACACCAACCAGATGAACTGCCATTCCAGATGATGCAACAAAGACTTTTTAAAAATGGGATACAAATATTAAAGGACAACAAACTTCAATACAATTTGTCAACAGTTACCACCATGTTTTCAATCACATTGGACAAATACTCAATACTGTTAAAAAATAAGCAATGTCCGTTACCCTTTACCTGTTCAGATCTAACACCAGTTAATAATAATGACGTGAATATTTGAGTGAGCCATACAAAATAATCCCGGACACGGCTGTGGACTGATTAGCTTTTTTGCCTCCGACAGACATCAGCTAAACAGTGCCCATACCCTGGAAACACTAACAAACCTCTTCGCATTCTGACTCCGCCTCATGACATATGTTAAAAGGGACAAGCTACGTCTACACCGAGTCAAAATGTCAGACATTATTCCTCACCCTAATGTTTAATCATGGTTCTTATACTGTATGTGTTGTTTTAAATCAGACATGTATCTAACTAAAAGCCTCCTGAGTCTGTGAGACCCTGATCAAGAGTCCCACAACCCAGTCTGCACATAAAATCATCAACTAAATCAGAGATAACACATTATAAAAATATATCACTGTTCACCTAATAAAAGACTATACAATGTGTAGGGTCTTTAAAAGTCAGTAGTAAACAACCCCAATAAATTTCTTCAATTCCCCCTTTTCACATGACAACCAATAACCTACTTGACCTGTTAGAATGTAGCCTGGTTAAAACAAGTGTTCTACACTTTGCTTCGTGCAGAGGGTCTGGACCATTGGCTAAACGATTGCTTGCTGGAGGTGTGAACTCTGCTGAAGTTTAAAATAATTGGATCTGATTTTATCTAATTGAGCTAACATTTGGCCTATTTGGACTATAACATTTGGAAGGAAGCTAAGCTAAGAAGCTAACCAGAAATTGCATGCGCTCTAAACAACCATTCCCTAGTCAAACCAAATGAGCTGGCTGTGCTGCAGACTTTGCGAGACAAACTTAACTTAATTTCGAAGTGTTGTCAACATGGATTGAATGGCTTCATTCACTTCCTCTGCTGCCATTGCTAAACTACAAGCAGACTAAAACCGCACATAAAATCTACGTCATCGTTCACAACCCCTCCTTCTGTTCGCTGATTAGCCCAGTGGAAATTCTACCAGAGAAATCCATGTCAATGGGAGAAAACCCAGACAAAGAAGAGAAAGGAGATTAGAATMAATCGGAATTGCATAGGAAGGCCAGGCTAGAATGTGGCAAATTTGAAAACCCTTATTCAACCTGCAATGCTCTTGTACTCACCAAAAATCTTTTTCCTATGTCCCCAAGACTCTTTTCAGTCTTCTCACCATGGTCTATACATCAAAAGCCAAGTCCCACAACAATGTCCACAATTTCACCATGCCGTTGTTAAAAAATAAAAACGAAGCAAGAACATCAGTTGGGCAAAAATTACCTTTAACAGATTTAATAGAAACTTGCTCGGTTTTATACAGAATCATCAGAAGTACATTTTCCCTCCAACACATCCAACAAGATGTCACCTAGTGGTGAACACAACACACACCTCACATATTACCCTGTGTCAAATGAGCTGAGACCTTCCCAGTCCCATATTGAAGAAATGTTAGGCTAAGGAGAACTAAACTAGATATGTTTGAAAATTGGTTGACAAGTAAAATCAGAGCGAAAGCATGAATTTCTTGGACTGCTTCAGCTACATGCTAGAAGATAATGCTACTGCTACACATATCATAGCTGCAATAGTAATTTTTATGACCCTATCATAATGTACAGATTTTTATTATATAATGACTTACATTATATATCTAATTGACTTATATGGTTTATGTGTACACAGAATGTTTGGATTTTAAACTCAATCATGCATAAAAAGAATTTCTTCCTCTCCTTTTTAATTTAATTTCCACCAGCTCATTCAATCCATTATTGAATGTTTGAACACATTTACTAGGTGTTCCAAATCAAGAATCATGTCAATGGAGATATTCTAATATTGAACAGCTCTGACATCAAAATGTCATTTCACGTATAATGTAAGATGATGAACAGCTTCATATTTGATTCAGCTCGTTGCATTTTTCAGTTCACAATATCAAAATAAGCATAAACACTTAAGGACCTCTGAGACTCAGCGGAACTAAAAAAAAATTGATCTTGGGCATGTCTCTTGCCTCTGCCAAAGCCGGTCTTCATTAATTTAGCATTATCTCAGAGGCATAATGGACAACATTTTCTGCACACTGCTCCTGACCTTTTCAAAATGACAACACAAATTGGGAAAACACATAAGAGGCAAATATTCTAATTACATTTTAAAATATTTAATTTGGTCAACATGAATTACTTGAAGTCCTTTTTCAAAATAATTTTACTAGCATTATTTATTCTCTCCTAACTACCACCTCACCAGATTCTCCACCCCTCCTCCAATGCTGAGTGTGCTGTTCTGGTTTGTGTGAGTCTCAGTGGGATTGTCACAGTGGTGGATGAGATATGGCCTGAGCATCATGGAAATGAGAAATCTGCCTGTTATGGAGCCATTATAGTTTACAGCACATCGGATGTTTGTCCCTTGGGTCTACTATTCTCTTGGCCATGCATCCTGCCTCATCTAATTGTTCATCCCCCCCAACTCTGCTTGCATCAATCCATGCTGAACCTAACCCACCACCACGCAAAGGAAACCCACCACCACGCAAAGGAAAGTCCATTCACTACTAATGAAGAGAAACATAGAGTTGCTCATGTGCTACGCATCTGATATTAAAATAAGTTTACAAATTATAATGTTGGGTTTCACAGTGAAGTCAGATGTGTTACTTTTACTGCACTGCACCTAGTTAAATAATTTATTTGATCAGTTTGGGGTTCATGCTCAACATTTGGCCAGGGTAGTAGATCTAAACCCAGGATGAAGATGGCATTTCTTGAAGGAATGCCAGAGTTTTTAATAAACATATTTTACAAACTGTTGTTAAATATGACTTGGGGATGACTTTCAGCTACCTCTGCACCAAACGTGAGTGTCAGAAAACCTGACTGGCCATTTTGCCATTTGCTAAAGTTGATTAGCTTTTCATCCATTTTGAATGGGGTTGACTTTTAAAGTTAMTCAGTTGTACACCAAAGTCTCAAAAAATTTGCTGTTTTAAGAAATATACAGGTCCTTCTCAAAAAATTAGCATATTGTGATAAAGTTCATTATTTTCTGTAATGTACTGATAAACATTAAACTTTCATTTATTTTAGATTCATTGCACACCAACTGAAGTAGTTCAAGCCTTTTGTTGTTTTAATATTGATGATTTTGGCAAAAAAGTAAAGAAAAACCAAAAACCCTTTATCTCAAAAAAATTAGCATATTTCATACGACCAATAAAAGAAAAGTGTTTTTAATACAAAAAAAGTCAACCTTCAAATAATTATGTTCAGTTATGCACTCAATACTTGGTGGGGAATCCTTTTGCAGAAATGACTGCTTGAATGGGGCGTGGC